TCAATGGAGCGCAAATGGAGGTTGTGGATGGCTGCAATGGCAAGGACAACTCTGATGGATGATATGCGGACAGTAGGTGCAAATATTTCGAGGAAATCAAAGCCAGGGCGCTGGTTATAACCTTTGGCCACATATCTGGCCTTGTAGCGCTCAACAGTGCCATCTGAGTTGCGCTTGATCTTGAAGACCCACTTGCCACCAATAGCCTTGACTCCAGGAGGTAGTTCCACTAGTGACCAAGTACCATTGCGCTCATGAGCTTGAAGCTCTTCCATGGCTGCCTCTCTCCATTTATCTGCATCAGGACGCTTCATTGCATCTGCAAACGACCTAGGCTCAGCAGAGTCTCCAAAGTGTGCCACTTCATCATCAACTGCCTCAGAATCACTGTCATCACTCTCAATGGCAGGAGTAGGTTGTCTGTGTTGAAGCCACCATGGTCTAGGTGGTCTCCTAGCCCTTACAGGGCGTCTCAGTGCAATAGGCAAGTCAGGAGAAGGTGAGCGATGAGGAGGGTGATTTGGAAGCTCAGGAGGTTGATTCACAGGTGGTTTTGCATCAAGGTCCAAATGAGGCCCATTGTCAGGCAATGGTTGAGGCTGCTGAAGCGCAGCTGGTGGGCCCATATCTCCCCCTGGACCTGGTGCAGGGACATCCTCAATCAGGCCCAATGGCATGGATAGCGAAGGTGGAGTGGGAGGTGGAGGCGGGACATCGTCAGAAGACCTTTTCAAGCCAGGGAAGTAGCGCTCATCAAAATCAGCTCTCTCAGAGATAACAGTGCGCTTGGTGGTAGGATTGTAGAATTTCCATCCCTTGTACCCCTCAGGGTAACCAATGAACACACATTTCTCCATATGAGAGCCAAAGACGCCTCTTTTGTTCTTTTGCACATGCACATAGGCAGTGCAGCCCCAAACGCGAAGGTGAGACATGTCAGGCTTGCATCCATACCACAACTTAAATGGAGTGGCATGGGCCACTGCATCAGTGGGACACCTGTTCCAGACATGCACCAAAGCGGACAGACATTCACCCCAGAAGCTGTTAGGCAATGCAGACTCTGATAACATGGCAGTGATACGCTCAGTCAGAAGTCTGTTTGCTCGCTCTGCCACACCATTCTGCTGAGGACGATTCCTGGTGGTATGCTGTCTGACAATCCCATGATCATCTGTGAATTGCTCAAATTCCTTGGACATGTACTCTCCCCCTTTGTCATCGCGCAGAGCCTTGATTTTACGCTCCAATTGAGTCTCAGCATAAGCCTTGAATCTCTTGAAAGCATCAAAGACATCTGACTTGGCCTTGAGAGGCACAACAACACGGAATCGACTGTGATCGTCAATGAAGGTGACCCAGTAGCGATAACCAGAGAATGTGGGGGAAGAGACTTGGTGTACATCAGAATGGATGAGGTCCAAAGGATGAGCAGAGCGAGTATCAGATGAGGGGAATGGATTGGCATGCATCTTGCCAGACAAGCACGGTTCACAGACAGGGTCAGGAGCAGCCTTGGATTCCAGTGTAAGCCCAGTGACCAGATCTCTCTGTATCAGTCTCTTGACATCAGCATGATGGTGGTGAGCCAATCTGCGATGCCAGAGCATCAAATCAAGTGGTATAGTCGCAGTAAAATGTCCCAATTCAACACAAGCAGCAGTAGATCCATCAAGGAATGCTGCATTGTTGTCATTGATAGTTGCAGTGAACAAGAGAGTGTTGTCACGCATAAAGGACATGGAATGAGACGAAATAGTGACATTGAAACCACCTTGACGAGTTAAATACAAGACTGAGAGGAGATTATTTCGAAGATCTGGTACATGGAGCACTCTAGAGAATTCCACAGCCCTAGCCACTTTGCCATTCATCACAGGATTAAACACCACAGTACCAACACCAGCTGAATAGACAACAGTGTGATCAGCCAGCTTGATTGGCACACGATATGGGGTATAGTGGTGCATCCAATGACGATGAGGTGTCATATGAGAAGTGGCGCCTGTGTCTGCATTCCAATCAATGTCAGCATCAAGTTGGAGAGGGCAATGAGGATCAGAGGGATGAATAGAACAAAGACTTGCATTCCCAGCTGATTCAGTGACCACAGTAGATGAATTGGCATTGTTGGGCGAAGATTTGGGCTGCTGAGAGGTATTCTGAGAGTTGCTGGAGCCTGCCTGAGCCTCATTGCCACGCTTGTAGCGATTCTTAGCACCCTCCACTGCCTGTTGGCGACTAGCAATGTATCTGTGGCATTTGTCTTGGGTATGACCAAGTAAACCACAGAAATCACACTGAACGCGAGTAGAGGTGGTGGATTGGTTGCAATGATGGCAGTTAGGATGGGTGCAGGTGCTATTGGCAGTGGTAGACGAAGAATGCAAGGCAGAATCGACTTCAGCACGACGACGGCGATTGACCTCTTCAGCAAGGAAAGCATCCTTGAGCTGGGTCTTGTCCAAGGTGCCCAGAAGTAGTAGAGATGAAGTGAAGTGGGCATATTGATCAGGAAGCGCCCTAATCATGGCCATGCATGTCAATTCATCGTCCAATTCAGACAATGAGAAGCCAGTAGGACAAAGATTTTGAATCTGATGCATGCCTTCGTCAATTCTGGTCATAAGAGACTGCAGGGACTCGTCCTCCTTCTTTCTGATAGAGAAGAAGTCGTCATAGGCATTAAATCTCGTCCCAGGCTTCTTAGAGACGTGCACAATTGCCAGTTTCTCCCAGATCTTGACAGGATCATCAATGATGCCATCAAGATGGATGCGCTGCTCTTTGGTGACATTGAGATATAATGCACCAGCAGCTTTTTCAGCTCTCAACTCCCATTTCTCTATTGCTTCAGCGTCAGTCCCAGGACACTTTTCAGCGCCAGAGACGAGCCTCCACAGTCCCTTGGTCATCAACCAAGCTTGCATTTCACCACTCCACTGGGGGTAGTTAGTGCCAGACAAGGGATGGAATTTGGGATCAGAGTCAGACATGATGGGTGTTGTATAAGACAATAGAGCAATGATAAATGATGTAGGAGACGGCTATAGGCGATGGAATAGTGGCAAAGACAATGGGCAACAGTAGGAGGCGAGCAGATAAGATGGTGAGGCGGTAGAGAGAGGATATGGAGAGGGTCAGAAAGTGCAAGGATAGGTCCAAAAAGGGTCCAAAAAGGGTCCAAAAGCGATCCAGGAGGGTGCTAAGGCTTCCTAGTGCTGCTACAGGGTTACGCCTGTGTTCCCCTTTCAATTCCACACTGATATTAACAGAGAAATCGCCTCGAGACAGTGTTGGTTAATAGGGCTTGTATATGAGTCAACAAAGTGACTTAAGCTCCCCAAACACCGCAGACTGAGAGAGGCTCTAGGCAACAGCAAACTGAGGCAATGCAGGCGAGCTTCACAGTCTATAGGCTTGTTCTATCTGATAATGGACAGAGTAGAGAAGATTGGAGCTTTATGCACACACCAGATATGCCAAAAAGCGAAAAATAGGGCAAAAAGTCGAAATTGATGCAGAGACAGATAAGATGGATGGATTGCCACCAAATCAGAGGTATAGGGAACATTTTTATAGAGTAATAGATGGCCCAAATATCACAAGAAGTGAAGCACAGGATGTGGAGATATGCAATAGGAGTCCAATAGGGGTGAAAGTGCCAAAAATGCGAACTTCACAGAGGATGATGGAGTGGATGGATTGCCCCCAAATTGACGGTGTAGAGTGCAATAGTATAGGGTAGTAGATGGCTCAAATAGGGCCAAGATCCGAGCACAGGATGTGGAGATATGGAATAGGGGGCCAAAAGGTGATCAAATGATGATGAAGGCTCACAGAAAGATCCAGCTCAAATTCAACCGCTCTGACAGGTCTCCTAGGGTTATTTAGGCCGTAGAAGACGATGGTAGAAGTTACAGGACGATCAGATAAGGATTGGGCGAGATATGGTGCAGATAAGACCAAAAAAGCGTCCGAAATGGGGGTAACTTGCAACAAGGAGTTGTTGTTGGAGATCAAGATGAGATCAGAGTAATCTGAGGTGATTGATGAGATAATAAGAGTCCCAGAAGACAATGGTTACGATGGATAAGCAGTAGGACGCTTGGATGGTGAGATATGAGGTCAGGAAGATGGCTAGAGCACAGGGCTCATAACCTATTAAGAACAAAGCTTGAAGGGAGTGTCTAGCCACTTGCTGAGAGCAATCAGGGACTGGAACTAGAGTCCAATGTGAGTAACTTTATTATTAGAGAGTATGACAGGTATACAGTACCTAGAGTCCAATGTGAGTAACTAGAGAATAGGAAGCATTGGACTCTGCAATACTGTCCGAAGTTTTGTAAACAAAGGTAAACAAAGCAGCCACAAAGGCGAAATAATAGAGAACACAATCAATAGTGAATGATAGAAGAATAGATAGAGAAAGGAATGAAAATATATAGGTAGCACAAAGGTGCAGAATCACCAAAACTAACATTCCTTTGTGTGAATGTTGCACTGCTCAAAAAAATATTCAATGCCACTCATATTCTCCTTTCGTGCTTGACCCAGGCCCTCTTCAAAATGGCTCAACCAAGTGATTTTGGGTTCCCAGCCAACCCCCCATTCAAGTTTATCCTCTTCCGAAACTGGTTCAATAATTGGGAGGCTGAAGACAACAACCTTCAACGTGATATGGAGGTAGTGCTGGATGGATCTGAGCCAGTTGAGATCAGTCACGCAGGTGGCAAGTTTGAGGCATTGACGAGGGAAATCTGATCTGACTTGTGGAAAAGGCGAGTTGGTGTAGCAGTATTCTACTGACTTTACATTGATGACACTTTGTTCTCAATAGGCACTATCAGCGTATTCCTCATCACATAGATTACCGGACACATTGCAACCGCATACACAGGCACAACCTGGCCTTTCAAGAACAACTTCCTGCACTTATAGACACATATATGGAGTGGTGTCTCAACTGCTTAGACTCGACTCACCAAGCAGAGTGTACTATGGATCCTAGCATGGGTGAGATGGGATCACTGAAAGTGGAAGTAGCAGACACATTCAGTACATACAACAAGTAATTGCACATGTGATTCTAACGTGACTATAGACGCTCACAAACAGGTTCTTGCAATTTTTCCCACCAACCGGTTTATCACCTCTGCACTGGTTAGACGGGGTGTCATGCCTTGCTCACCCATCTCTCCAACAGTCAGTATCACCTCAGATACACTTGAGCTATACCGCGTAGCTCATCTTTGGACACCTGAAATATCAATCCAGGCCTTTGTCAAGACATTATGTGACCTTCATGGGGTGAGTCTCAGTATGATCAGCGTATATTTCTCACTAATTTTTTTCCAGGTTCCTTTTTGTTGTTATCTGTCCCAACAATTTTCCATAGCTTTTGATTTATACATATCTATTAGGAGCGGGGTGAAAATGCTGGTTAGGACTGCCTTGAACCGTGAGTCGTGTGACTGGCGCCTGAAGCATGTCTGTCCAGCATGCACATATGCCGTCAAGGGGGAAGAGGAGTTAAAGTTCCAGATGCTCTATACAATGGATGGTAATAACTCATTGAAGAGAATTGTTAGAAGGACCACTCCCGAGGACAACAACCAGCTTGTAGGCAAGACTTGCAAACTTCCAGACTCCAGGGAGGTTGACGGAGATAAATATCTAAGTGGGCACATGGAGTAATACAGGAGATGATGAATGGAGCAAATGATGCGGTGAGTGATTCAATATATTTGCATTATGTTCTAACTAACAGTAATCTAAACAGACAGAATCAGAAGAGAATCCCTGTGTGGGTCATTGGAAAAACATGAAGGACAATGCTTTGAAGAAGACATGGGCCATTTATGATGAGATAAGGATATTTTTTTCTCTTTGCAGACATGGATTTTTTCTTGTCATTGCAGACATGGTTCAAAGCGGCAAATTGTAAGTATTTGCATATTATTCAGGTTAATTTTTATATATACATCTATAGGGAGAAATACCCTTTGGCGGTGGTGGAAGAGATCCTCAACACATTTGGGGAGGATATAGCAGGCGTGTTTGATATTAACTGTAAATTCAAGACCACCCTTAGTAAAAGCCTGCTTGGCCCGTGAGCCCGTGCTCTATGCCTTGCATGTCTTGTTGGTGCCTTTCATGGACATGCCCACCACCATCTTTGCCAACTTTCACACCTTGCCATGTACACTGAAGGCCTTGGTCTTGAGGATCTTGAAGGCTGTGAGAGAGCATTCTCAAAGTCCAACGCTTTGGCTGGCTCAGTCCGATATGCCAGTGTTTTTCACCAAAGACAGGCAATTGACGCTTACTTTAGACACGGGGATGAATTCAAAGTAAACTATAACCTCAGTATGTACTAAATCTGTGCTACGCAAGATATACTAACACCTAATCTTCTATTAAAGCCAGCTTCTTGTACAATAACTACCAACAAGCTCTGGATATCTTGTCCAAGAGTTCTATTGGATTTAAAGATACAGTTTATGACCTTAGTGTGACAGATGAGAGTGTTTTCAAGCAATGGCTGAAAGAAGAGAAAGAATATTTGATGAGCTTGCAGAAAGAACCCACTAAAGAAACATTACACATGGAGTATTGGCAAAAGCTGGTCAATGTGCAGGCTAACAGGTGAGTGTATTGTTAAATGTGGTGACAACTATTGGCTCACTTGTAATGTCATAATGCTAGAGTAGAGCTTGAGGCAATCACAAAGGCATGGGAAGCTGCACAAGTCCTGACAAAGGAGCAGCAAGTGGTTCGCCAAATTGCTATGGAAAACTACGAGAAGAACCTCAAGGATGTGCAACAGTATAAGTTAAAGTTACACATCTTAACTCGGTGGACACCAGATTCTAAGGAATAGCAAGAAGTGGGGAGGATGGTAGCAATGTGTAAATACCAAAGGGCACTTGACCACCTTGAAGGTCTTATTGTTGCCCGCATTTTTGAGTTATGAAAGATGAACCGTTCAAAAACAGGTGAGCGGTTAGTTTTTATATTACAGTACATAAATTACAGCAGTTACAGGATATGCGTTGCAAAAACATATTGGCAAGGTGTTGCAGGCACAATCTGCAGCCATTAGGACTGCCCTCAATCACTACAATACTGCAGCCAGAGCCCTGACACCCCCCTGTTGCCTACTTGAATGGAAAGAAGTAATAGAGTACACATTTCTTTCAGATTTTGACTTGCCACATGATACCCGCCAGGACATGTCTCATCAGCCCTTGGCAACGCTAGCTGGCCGCTTGGCTATGGACTTCTACTTCAAGGCCTGCCGTGCTTGCCAGGAGATCAAGCGGCTCAATGTTGAGATTCACTGAGTTGCCACCTACCTGAGGGACGAAGATAAGTATCTGCAAATATGTGAAGAACAGATTCGTCCAGCAAGTTCTGCTCTTGCCTACCACATACACATTTATTGCATGGAACGGGGCTGTTTCAACGCACATCATGTACACCGTCTATTAGACATTGCCTGGGGTTCAGCGGTATGATAGTACCAGGGGAAAGAACACAAACAGGAACAGGTGAGAGTGGAAGTGTTCCTATGGAAAAGCTACCTTCATTACTTGTACCTGTGTCTTGTTCCCCTTGTGATGGACAGCCAAGTGAAAACAACATATACAAACAAAGGGATAGCCCAGAGGACCTAGAAGACAAGGAAGAGGAAGACAAACACGTTGAGGAGGCCTTTGAAGCGGTACTAGGCATTTTGGAGGTATCTGAGGACACTTAGGACGTAGTTTGCTTTATATTGAGTTATATTTGCATTCAACATACATTACATGCTACTATTATAAGTAAGATTGTCGAACTCGCTGTCTCACACAGCAAGCTCAACCCATTACTAGTATCCGATGCGACATAGCGTGCGTCTGATGCATCCTGTGACAACACGTGACAAGCTGAGTATTTGCGACATTGCCAGTGGCAGTAAGGAAATGCTAATGCTATTGCAATGACACCACATTTGCGCACGTGGGGGATCTGGGTCGCCGGTCCTTTCTGGTGAGCTGTGCTTGAAAGGAGCCTCCAAAGTCTCAGATTTATCCATGAGATATTGAAGGAGGCCTGCAAAAACAATTTGGGAGGCTAATTAGCAGACTTGCATGGGAATCACAGGTGGATAGGTTTCTACTAAATAATTGGTCTGATTTGTACCCTTATCAGATTATGTGGTGGAAGTACATGTAATGTATGCCCTCATTTGATAACCTACTTTCACAACATTGATAAAGCTCCAATAAATAGTTGATTTGGTTTGTATCCTGATCAGATTACATGGGTAAAAAGTGCATTTGATCCATGTCCCCATTGGATTACCTGCTATCATAATGCATGTAAAGCTTAATATTGGTTCCTATAGCTGGTGCTATAGTTACATATAATACAGTAGATGGTATAGATCCTCAGGCAAGAGAACAAATGATGAAAGCTTTGAAATTTTGGGCAGTATATATATGTTATATTTATGCCAGAAGGCAGAACTCTGGAATTTCTGAAGAAAACATTTCTCAAGTCCCAACCCCCCCAAATTATTGGTACTCTCAGAATTATGCTCCTCGTATTCTGCCGTTTGGCATAACATTGCACCCCACCTCCACATGGTACTCCGGACATCTGCTCAGATACATTTTCATATTCCTCATGGACTCTGTAATTTAAGGCTACTCCTCCCACATATAATTTTCCCTTGCTAGATAGTTGTCCGCATGGAACTCTGTACCCATATTACAAGTCACTCCTTACAAACTCCCATTCCTCCAATAGCATATAAGTGTTCTAGCCACTTGCTGAGAGCTAACAGAGACAGAACTAGAGTCCAGTATGAGTAACTTTATTATCAGAGAGTACAGAATGTGTACAGTACCTAGAGTCCAGTATGAGTAACTAAAGAATAGGAATACTGGACTCTGCAATACTAATCCGAAGTTTTGTAAACAAAGGTAAACAAATCAGCCACAAAGGCAAAATTATAAAATGCTCGGTGAATACTGAACAATAGAGCAAAAGGAATAAAGAGGAAAGTGATTTAGAAAATAAATAGCACAACTAGGTGCAAAATCACCAAAACTAACAATAAGTTGTAGTTCTTGTACTCCGTTCCTGCAGTTTGAATATCAACTAGTCTCCCTCACCTTTATTCAAGTCCCTTTCTAAATTTCGGACCTTTACTCCACTCCACCTTTCATCCTCTACTCTCATCTGTTCACTCCAACTAGTTAGGGACCAAGGTCTGCAGAAGGGCTTAGCACATGAGCTAAGTCAGTCCCCCAACCTCGTACTCCGTTCCTCTCTCCACTCCATCTCCGCACTCCAAACTCCGCTTTTTCCAAAGGTCACGGTTCCGACACCTGCTATAGAATGAAAACCATGTTGTTTTGAAGGGGGTTGTGTCATGACACCAAGGAGTATATTGTGTCATCAAAAAAACACAATGCTACTTTCATGATGTGCATCATTCTACTCAACTCACTATTCAACCATGCCATTGAACATTACTCTGGAATTTTGTGTTCCAGATTTGTGTGCCACCATGAGATGCATTCCTTCATTAGCACCTCCAGTTCTCAAGTTTTGCAATGATGTCATGATTATGCGGCCACCAAATCAGGTATATTTGTATTCAACCACAACTTTTTAAAAAGGAACTGCAGGCCCCCCTTTTTCTTTGTTGTTTTCTTTGCCACTTTCTTTATTCCATCTGCCAAACTGTTTTTATAGGTGTACAAGGTTTGTGGAAGGTAGATCTCCATTTTACTATTAGTTCTATTTAACATGAATTATTGCATAGTATTATCATACATTGCGCATGTGCCATCCGTCAGATTAACCATGCTGGAAGAGGCCTAAACCCTGAGCTGCAGAGTCTGTGGTGCTGGGCAGCACAACTCGCAAAGCTAGCAATAAAATTATATGTAGTATTTGATGGTCCCTAACACCTTTTCAGGCCTTCATGTAACTTTGCTCTACGTGAAACCACTAACTTCTGGAAGTGAAGGAGAGCAGGGTTTTGCTGCTATTCCACCTATAGTCTCAACCAAACCTTTGTTAGCTCACCTTACTATGCAAGAAAATGTTTGGATGGGTCAAAAGTGCAGATCCAAGGGTAGACATAGACTCCAAATTCTGTGCACATGTGTGGGCAGTGGCGTGCATTAGTGAATTATGTGGTGTGAGTTTATTCCCTATTTGTTGCACAAATAACTGACATAGCAATTGTTTTTCCGTAAAATTTCCACGTAATGCAGGGAAAGGACCACTAACTCCCTCAATTACAATTGTCAGCTTTTGGAAAAGAAAATCCCCAAAAGGATGTGCACAGGTTTATCAGGTTCGGATCTCAGGGAAGCCTTACCTGGCTGCAACCAGGATTAATAGTAATAGTCAAGAACCAAGCAAAGCGGGGGTCAGGAAATCCCTTCTCTTGAAAATTCCAGCTGTTGTGCTCGAGAAAGCAAAGCCTAACCTTAGTAGGCAGTTTTGCCAAAAATATCCAGTGTGTTATCCCTCCAAAGAATTATACACGTTAAAACTTTTTGTTCAGTCACACAGTATACTTACCACATCCAAGAAAGAGTTCTCAGATAATACTGTTGCATCACATAGAAGATACACAGGAGTGGCTGAATTCATTGACCTCACATTAAGTGACAACAATGAAAATATACTGCAAAATGACAATAATGTAGATGAGGTGGAATTTCTTTGCCAAATAGCTGAAGCGGAAGGTTTAGAGGGATATGAAATAGTGGAAGATGATATAGTTGATATGGTGTGAAAGTGATTTTAAGATATCTTTGAGCTGTGCAATACATGCAATAACAAGAGACAAAATTATTTGGTTTGTTAGTTTTAGAGCATTGATATGATCTGTCCTAACATGTAGACATCTGGATTGACTAGAAGCTGAGCACAACTTAGTACTCGTGTATTGTAGCATATATACCTGAGCAATACATGGGGAAGGACTCAGCAAGTCCTCTTTTAGTGTCTACCAACATTAGTATGATAACCTCCCTCTCATGATGTCACATAACTGGCACAATCAACAGACAATATACTGTATTTTGGATATTTCATCAGACTGACTTACCATCTTGTAATGCCTTCTACTGGCTGTCACTGTGGCTTGATTTTTTACGGAAACATCACTATGGCCACTCCCTGAAAGCTGACAACTTTGTCTTTCCTGCCATTGGAGCCAATGGAGTTATTCACCCTGGTGAACACATTACACAAGATATGGTACAGAAGATGATTGACAAGGCCATTGATGGAGCTAGTATCAGCCATTCAACTGGTTGTTTTACAACTCACACTTTCTGATGTAGTGGTGCTCAATATCACTTTATGTTGACACTATTGGGCCAATAGTAGACACTGCAGCGAGTGAGGTGTTAGGGTGGTTGGGTTGTGGGTGAGCACATAAGCAACTAATTGTGTCCAGTCATAAATGTGGCACACTCATACTGCACACAATACCAGTGTGGTGCACTCATGTTTTTCACACAATTATGCCATGTAGCACTTTCTTTTTGTTCAAACTCCACTTTCTCATACTGCACTGCCTTTTTTTATTTTTAGATACAAAGTCTCTCTCGCAGTGGAGCTGATCACATGAGCTGTGCCCTATAACATCATCAGCTGTATAGTACATAAGTACAAACACTCTGTATTAGGTTTACCAAATAGATCCACAAGACTCCTTAGCAAGTCCTCCTCTTGTATACCCACAACTAATTTACTTGGTCCTATCATAAGGGGTTTATCCACTCCTCCATCCTCCTCTTAGCTTATCACTGTGTGCACCAGAGTATTCAAACTTTGGTTTTAATATTTCAAAGAGACATCTAATCTAGATAAACACAAAGACTCAGTGTGCTGGGGGAACAACTGAGTGTGTTGAAGTAAGTACCTAGATAAACATGGAGACTAACAAGTCTGATAAACTAGGTACATTTGATAAAAACCAAATAAATATCTTACCTCAGTATTCTGGGGGAATAACCGAGGTGGTTACATTGCAACAACTTGCTATATGTAAGTGAACAAAAGTAAAAGTTTTCTGATGGTGGTATATTGGGTGCACAGGCTACCCCATCCTTTTCACTTTCCTTTTACAGACTTTGTCAATGCTTGCCTCATCCTCTGCTGCCTCCAACACTCCCCCTCAAGCTACACAAAGTCCCAGTGCTGCCGCAAAATGTTTTGCTTTTGCAGAAGGTAAGGCCTTAGTAAGTGTGTCTGCAATCATATCATCTGTGGGACAGTAGACTATCTCAATCTTGCCCTGCTTGATTGCATAACGTACAAAGTGAAGTCTTATGTCAATATGTTTGGTTCTTGCATGGTATTGCTTATCTTTGACAGTGCAATTGTTGATTGATTATTGCAAAATAAAATTAGTGTCGGTACATTGTTTCCAAAGACTGTCCATAAACATCCTGATCCACAGGAGTTCCTTCATGGTGTGGGTCACCACCATGTACTTGGCCTCCGTTGTTGATAGCGCAACCAATTCCTGCTGTTTCAAGAACCAGGAGATTGTTCTGCCATCCAGCATGATGGCATATCCCAAAATTGTGTGGCAATTATTGTTGGTGCTGCCATCAGCATCACAGTATCTGGTGATGTCTGATTTCTCTGGCCCATAGGACAGCCATAATTCCCGTGTCCCGTTTAGGTATCTAATCACTCTCTTTGCAGCTTCCCAGTGCAGCTTCCCAGGGTTCTCAACATATCTTGAGAGTATGAAGACTGTGTGAGCTATGTCCAGACGAGTTGCAATAGCTGCATACATGAGGGATCCAACAACCTCTCAATATGGGACATCTTGCATATCCGCAAAATCTTCAGGCATCTTGGGACATTGGTCCTTGGTTAGGTAAGTGTTTGTGATTATCAGGATAAACAATGGTTTAGTATCCTCAAGATGGAATTGTTGCACTATGGCATCAATATATGAGCACTAGGAGAGACTTATGGTTTGGGTGGGCCGGTTTCTCTTGATCTCTATCCCCAGCATACAATGCAACTACCCAAGATTAACAAGTGTCATGTGATCAACATGGACAGCTATGATGGTGAGCTTAGTTCTTTTCTGTCTGTAAAACACAGCATGATCTGACTTGCATTGTTGTAGCCCTATTTTCTTTAGGTTCTTGCATAATGTTTGGTACCAGCGGTGTCCTGCCTTTTTCAGGCCATACTGTAACAACCAAGAGTTAGTTACTCTGGCGCACACTAAAACAAACTATAAAGGTAGTGATGAGGGAGTGGTTACCCCTTAGGTAGGACCGAGTTAGTTGTGGGTATACAACAGGAGGACTCGCTGAGAAGTCTCCTGGATCTATTGGGGTATATATACTAATACAGAGTATTTGTACTTATGTACTGTACAGTTGATAAAAGCAGTGGCTGATGATGTCAGAGGGCGTAGCCTGTGTGACCAGCTCCACTGCGTGAGAGACTTGTAGCTAAAAATAAAAATAAAAAAGGCAGCGTGGCGTGAGAAGGTGGAGTTTGAACAAAAAGGAAAGTGATGCATGGCACAGTGTGTAAAAACTACAGTAAAAGTTTAAAGAGGAGAATGAAATTTAAAGGTCCAAAAATGCGTTATCGTAACACCATACAGCATTTTATTTAGGCGAAGCACTGGCTTCTCTCATCCTGGGGTAGCATAACCTGGGGATTAACCCATAAATATCACTTCATTGTTGTCAAGTTCACCTTTTATGTAAGCAGTCTTGATGACCATTTGATGTAGTTCCCAGTTTTATTGGGCAGCTATTGTGAAGATGATGCGTAGCAAGGCTGTTTTCGTGATAGGCGCAAAGGTATCAAAATAGTCAGCCCCTTCTACTTGACTGAAATCTTGTGCAACTAACCTGGCCTTGTATTTGTCAATAGCTCCAAATGTGGTCTTTTTGACCTTGAAGACTTATCTGCTTCCGATCACATTGGCATTGTTTGGCTGTTCTACATGAGTCCAGGTTGCGCTCTGTAGGCAACAAACTATGTGATAAATAGGCACAAGGCCTCCAAAGATCGTCAGGGCATTTAATTGACAAAACAGCCCCAGAAGCAGAAGAGTCGGTTTCTAGCCGGAACTCTTTGTCTAATTCTGGAAATGCTAATATGGGCGCTGTTGTAAATGGCTGTTTAAGCTTGTCAAAAGCTTCTTGTTCTTTGGTGCCCCAGTGCCAAACGATATCCTTTTTGGTGAGATTGTTCAACGGTCTCGTGATTTTTGCGAAGTTTTCGACAAATCTTCGGTAGAAGTTGCCTAAGCCAAGGAAGGCCCTAACTCCTTTGACGCTGTGAGGAATCAAATTTTCTCATCACATTCCCATCATGTTGTGGTTAACAGACTCAATCCCTGTCACTCCTCTTGCTCTTGGACTAGAGATCACAGCCGGTATCTTATTACTTTTATCCTTTTTCTTCTTATTCTCTATTCACACTCACGTCCTATTGTACTTGCAACAAAGGAGACCTGTTGTAGACCTTTGAGAAGATATCCAAATGGCATAGCAACGATCCAGTGCTATGTCTGGGAACACTTTGGAGGGATATTGATAAGCGAAGAAGGTTGTGAGTCAGTGCCTTCTCATGGGCTTACTGATACAGCCAATCGCACACCCCTTACCAATACTTATTCTCATACGATTAGTAAATACGATAGATCAGACCATTTTCTCTTTCTTTTCCTATTGGTTAGTCAGTTGGTCAGACCACTTTCTTAATTCTTCCCTTTCTCGGTCTGACCCTTGCTGTTCACTATATAAAGAAGTACATACTCAATGTATTATTCTTTAGTTCAATATTATTTTGGATTTGCGCTTATACCGATACTCTTCAACTCTTATACCCTGCTTCACTGCCTTGCACCAAGGACTTGACCAAGCATTGAGTTTTGTTATATAGCTTCGTATTCGTTGCCTGACAGATGCAAGTAGGTTCAGGCCAATCCAAAATAGCTTAAGCTTTCTCAGGGTCCATCCTGATTCCGTTCTGGCCGTGGATATGTGTTTTTAACCGTGTACTCATTCAAGTAATGATAGTCCATAATCATATGCTTCTTACCATCCTTTTTAGGAATGAAGAACATCGGGGACGTCATAGGGCTTTTGGAAGGTCTGATGTAACCCTTCCTAAGCTGTTCATCTATGAAACTAGAAACCTCATCTCTTTCTGGAGCAGAGAGCGGTATCATGTGTCCTTTTCTCGGTTTGAAGGTGTCCTTCAAATCTATAGCATGGTCCCAAGGCTTAGCCTCTGGGAAGCGCTCTGATTCATGTTTTGAAAAGACTTTCCAGAAGTCATGGTACCCGGGAGGTACCAGCCTCTTAATCTCTTCCTCAGGTTTTACCTTGTTATTGTCATTGTCAATCTTATCTAAAGATCTGAGTTGGGCATAAACGTGACCAGCATCTATCCTTTCATCTCACTCAGTTTTACGGACACGACTTGGCTTACCCAAGTCCTCACACTCCTGAGGGCAACGTGACAATGTGACAACCCCTGTCTGCCAGTCGATTTTAGGATTGTGTTTAAATAGCCAGGTCCAGCCTAGGATTAAATTAATCTTCCCTAGTTGGGTAGTTTCTGCAATGATTTGTTCTCTGTGTCCTTGGTACTTGACAACAAAAGAACATTTGTGCGTGATGCAGCCACCCGTGTTGAGCGTACCGTCAACGTTATAGACAGGAATAGATATATCTAATTTTACAAGGGGGAGTCTAATTTGCTCCGCCCAGACTTGATCCATGAAGATGCCGTTAGTGCCTGAATCAAGCAGTGCATTGGTTGGGTGTACTATGCCCCAGACAAGAAGGAGAAGAAATATCAAAAGAAACATGTTTTTCTACTTTAAGATTTTCTATATTTTTATTTTTTATTCTACCAGAATCAAGCACCCTAGTGTTTGTCTCGCCGGGGCCACACTCCAAGGGAGATGCTGGTGCAGCTGTGGTATCATAAATATCACAGTTACAGTTTTGCATACAAGTACATACTTCTGATAACAAATTGAGAAATTTATTTTTTACAAATTGGGGAGCCACCCCCTTCTTTCTGTGATTGCTTGTGCAACACCCTGGAGCAGGGGCCACCTTGTTGTGGTTTACTTCATTGTTACGGGGAGCAAAGGCACCCAAGTGACCTAAGCTCTGAACTCTTTTCCCTGAGCTTTCATTTCAGCGACCTGCTGGTTGTAAAAGAAAGCCTGGATCTCAACGTATGAACGAACGGCCAGAGTATTGAGCCAATCGTCCATTTTTTCTGCTTCTAAGTGGCGCGCCTGGTGCCCTTGATTTTTTTTTTGTTGGGCGGCCTGCGCCCTATTTCTGCAATCTCAGGACATGTATCCTTCCTGGCCACAGTTGTAGCAGTTGCCCTTGAATCTGCGCATTTGTCCACCTTGGACCGCGCAGATATCCATAGGTGCACCCTGCCCTGGCTGCAGCCCGAACGGCTTGAACCCGTGAGAGTGATTTTGAGTTTGGTTTGATGACCCAGGGTGCCTCTGGGAAAAGTTGTTTTTAGTGGTGGACCCACCACGTTGTTGCATAGCATAGAGCTCCATGGCTCTACCAACTCGTTGTACTTCCTCAGCCGCTAGAGCCAAGTCCTTGTTTCGTGTATCCTGCAGATAGATCTGTTCTGCAATGCAGGGGTTCACATTGTGTTTCAGCAGTTCTACTGCATATTCATTGCCAAGCCCTCCTTGGATGGAGAGGGCCAGGAACCAGGTTACGTAATCATCCATCCTCATGTTTCCTTGTTTGAAGGAACAGATTTGTTGGCGAGCCCAGTCACGCTCAGCCTGTGGTTTGAAATATTTTTCAATCTCTACCTTGAGATTGTCCCAGGTAAGCCACACACCCGCGGTGTAGCACTCCTGTAATCTAACTTGGGTGTATCAACCCGCCACAGTTCCTTTTAGTTGAGATAGCACTGCAGATGCTACCTCAAAGTCGTCAGCAAATGCATCCCAATTTGCCTTGACCCAAATTTGTAGTTTGATCCAACATTCGGCAAATTGCGCTTTCTCCTTCAAAAGCGCCGGGGTCAGTGATGGCTTCGGCTTTCTTGTTGAACTTTTTCTCAACTGAGGGTGCTGCTACAGGAGACGTTCCAAGAGCAGTGGGAGCACCTGATCAGCTAAGACACCCTCCACAACAGTCTCTACAACCAAGACCTGAACACTGGCCATCTTCAGAATGGAAAGCCAAAGTAGAGTCACAGTCAGTGGGAGGACAGTCCCTCAACATACAGCCAGCTAATGTGGAAAAGGTCCGGATACAGCTAAACAGCCTGTCCATTGGATCAGCTTCTGGAAGGCATCCAACACCTCCGAGGGGTCATCCAATACCTCCGAGGAGTGATTTAACACCTTCAGGAGTGAGTGGGGCAACACACACACAAATGTGTCTACTCCCTGGAGTACCTGCACAAGTTCCTAAAAGAGCAGTTATGCCTGTTGAAGTCCTAGGAGTACGCAAAAGCAGTCGCCAGACCCGTCCTGCAGACAAAAACCGAGATTATCAAAGGACTCTAGATGAGAAACAGTCTCAAAAAGAGCAGCATGACAACTCCATGGAGAAACCTAACACTCCTGAGGTTCATGAAGAAACATCTGATACAGAGGAGACATTCTTTGCTGGAATAGCAAGTACCGGTCCATCTAACACAGACCTTCCAAGGACACTAAAGGAAGCCTTATCACGTTAGGATGGAGAATTATGGAAGTCTGCCTTGGAGGAGGAACTCCTAAGTCTCAATACTAATGCAGTATATGACACTGTTCCACTTCCAAAGGGAGTAAAACCCATCACATCAAAAACTGTGTTCCGGATCAAGTTTGATCAAAACGGAAACATTGAGAGATACAAACTCCGGATTGTTGCACGAGGTTTTACTCAAAGGGAGGGGATTGATTACCAGGAGGTTTTTGCTCCGGTTGCAAACTTAGAGTCGATCCGGTGTCATGCACCGAAGTTGATTGGTAGCATGGACAGGTGTCAATAACGAAGTGAATATTCAAAAAGACTCGCCTTTGCGCCACACAGGCACAGTGCCACGTGGAATAGTAATTAATATTGCCTTTTTCGAACTTGTGGCTGATCAGCACCACCTCTATTAGGCAATCCAGTCACACTCACCTTTGCTTTTCCATCCGGTACTTTCCGCATTTCGGCATTTCAGCAAATTTTCGCGTCGCCACTGGCTACACATTGCATTGCGCCCTCGCTTTTGTTGTTTCCCTTACTCCCCTTCCTTTGCCTAGCCCCACCATGGGCCCCTTCCTCTCCCTTTTATTTTCACCTGATGGTTGTTTCTGGATCCCCATTCTAATCCACTTTTTTGTCACCTCCACCCTCCTTCTCCTCATCTTATTTGCACCCCCACCATTTCTGATGTCACCACTTCCTATCCGCTTCTGTTGCCAATCTGTTGACTACCACGTGCCACTGCTGATATCAGCAAAGCCCCGGCGGCCGGTCCAAATAGGGCAACAGGTCCATCTTCATGACCTCAATCTGCCATCATATACTATCAAAACGTCAGTTGCTCGTCTTGCCTGGTTAGAGCGTGGGTGGGTATTTTTTGAGCTGGAGAAGGTTCATCCCCTTGCATCGCCCATGTTCATTGCCGTCCCATTCACTTGGGTACACCTATCTTTCGTCCATCATCTTCGCTACAGCTACGCCTACCACACGCTGCCTGGGACTCATTTGTTCCAAATTGGAATTACTCCACTCTCTCCCTTGTTTGACCAGGTGGTCCAATACAACCAGTCCATTGGTAAGGCCATGGACCTGTTGGATTTGGACTAGGTGGTGGACCAGTGGCTCCAGTTTTTTTGTTTTTTTAGCAGAACATTCTTTTTTAGAATGTCTAACAGACAATAAAGGAACTGTGTTGATACTGATATTGTTTTGCCTTGCCCTTTTTTTACTGCATCTTCCCATGACATCATGATTTCTTTCTCTTTCTGCTATTAGACTTTACTTTATCTTTATGGCTGTACAAACCTGTGACATTACTTACACAGCATTCATTGTTCTATCCCTTTCTTTTCCTTATTTTGATGATCTTATCATGTACTACCTGTGCAGGATTTGTCAGCGTACATTCCTTCCTTCATATTCTTTGTCATTCTTCTTGCACAGCTATACTGTGCATAGCCTATCTTTCTTTTACTATATAAACCCCTGTATTTTACCTTGTAAAAAAACAAGAAGAAATCACTTCCCACTGCTACCACTGTTATCTGCTGTCATCATCACTCGTCACTTTTGAAATCATTATCATCCCTTTTGAATAGAGTCCTTCTGAGCACTACAGTTTGTGCATCAGGAGCCTGCTATCACTGGGAACCTCGTTATGTTGTCATTCTCAAACCTACCTTATGCTACAATTAGCAAGGTAGTGCTTGTCCAAACTCATCACAAAGCCCCTATTTTTATCTTCCAACTATTCCTCCTCCTCAAAACACACACCCATACATCTCTGGGTTTGACTTTGAAGGATTGTCATACATACCACCCCACAAACAACTAGAGCACCCACTGTTCTAGGAGGCAAAGCCCATACACAAGGTCCGTGGAATCTGGGAGGATTGTGTGTTAGTTTTTTTTTGTGTGTGGTTTTCTAACAACAGTTTTCATCATTGACAACGTGGAATAGTAATTAATATTGACTTTTTTGTACTTGTGGCTAATCAGTACCCACCTCTATTAGGCAATCAAGTTGCACCTACCTTTGCTTTCTATTCGGTTCTTTTTGCATTTTGGCATTTTGGCAATATTTTGCGTTGCCACTGGCTACACATTGCACCCTCACTTTCATTGTTTCCCTTACTCCCCTTCCCTTACTTAGCTTCACCATGGGCCTTCTTCCCTTGTTTCTCTTCTGACCAGAGAGTCATTTTTGGATCCCTACCATAGTCAACCTTTTTGTCACTTCTACACTCCTTTTACTTGACCTCCTTGAGCCTCCTCCACATCTGATGTCACCTCTTTCAATCCACTTCATTGCCGATTTATCAGCAGAAGCTAATGGTCTTGACTGCAAAATGTACCCTCTTAGCAGAGACAAACACCACCATTTAGATGAATTTTTAGATGAGAACCTAAAGAGTGGATACATCCAGGTATCCAAGTCACCTTACACTTCACCATTCTTCTAAAAGAAATACAGTTCATTATGCCTAGTCCAAGACTATTGCAAACTGAATAAACTCACCACAAAGAATTGATACACCCTTCCCCTCATATCCAAACTCATTGATGAACTCAAAGACACCAATTACTTTACAAAATAGACGTGTAATGGGGATACAATAATATATGCATCAAAGATGGTGATAAACATAAAGCTGCTTTCAGACTTATCAATTCCCTTGCCAAATTCCAAACAATGATGGATCAACTACTTTGAGAATTAATCACAGATGGGCAAGTTATTGTATACCTGGATGGACAACATCATGATATTCATAGAGACTCTTGAGGAACATTGTCAAATTGTTACCCAACTTTTACATATCTTGCAACAGAACCACTTGTACCTTAAACCAGAGAAATACAAGTTTGAGAAAAAAGAGGTCAAGTACCTAGGCATGATTATCTCAAAAGATATCATTTGCATGGATCTATTAAAGGTAGCAGTGGTGGCAGAATGGCCCACACCAAAGAATAAGAGAGAACTCCAGTTATTTTTAGGGTTCTCCAAGTTCTGCCAAAGATTCATCAAAGACTATGGGAAGATTGAAAAACCACTCACCACGCTCATTGGAAAGGTTGACTGGAGTTGGAAGGTTGAACAAGTAACATCTTTTGAAACCTTGAAAAAAGTGCTCACCACCACTTCTATTCTTGCTATTCCAAACAACAATGACCCAAACTAGAATTAGATGCCTCTGAATTTGCTGTAGGAGATGTCTTATCCCAAAAATAGGACAATAAATTCAGACCCATTGCATTCCTCTCAAAAGCCCTCACTCCCGCTAAACAAAACTATGAAATCTATGACAAAGAAATGCTTGCTGTTGTGACTGCACTGGATGAATGGCAACATCACCTCATAGGATCCAAATGTCAGGTAATGAATAGGAAGCTATATAACAACAACAAATGTCTGGCCAAGTCCTTGTAAAACATCAGGAAAAACACTTTGGCCATACGAACCCTAATAGTACTATAGTTGCAAATATAGTTGTCATAGTGATCATAGCTGCAATAGAAACCCCAACATCTATTCAGGAACAATGTGCTCTTATAGTACTCTTATAGTTGGCTATAGCCTCTTATAGCACTTATAGCACTTATAGCATTTATAGCATATAGCTGACTATATGAGCTATGAGAGAGCTTGTGGCTGATTTAAAAAAATAAAAAATAATCACACACACAAGGTTTGAACTCTCAACCTGTTGGTCCATTTTTTTACTGACCAATCAATCTACAGCCACATACCACATATTTATCCACTACACCATAAAGGCTTACAAAATATACTATATATGTGTAATATATTGACCTTCCATGGACTTGTTATTTTTTTTACACATTGTCACAACTTATACTTGGATAAAGCATTGCTATAAACATGTACTATGGTCTTAACAGCTATATAGGCTATTATAGCTATAAGAGCCATTGTAATGCATTAGCTAGCTATATAATATTATACTGGTGCTATGTGTGCTCAAACTCATAGTATTATGAGAGCTATAATAGCATAAATAGTATTACCTTTGCTATATAGCCAAAGTGTTTTTCCTGATGAAGGTGGTGGATTATTGAGGTTGAAGAGTATTGATATATAAGCTAATCCAAGCTAATATTGAACTAAGGAATAATACATCAAGTATCTACTCCTTATATAGTGAATAGTAAGTGTCAGATTAAAGAGAAAGAATAAGAAAGTGGTCTGACCAAACAACTAGCCAATAGTAAAAAAGAGAAGAAATGGTGTGATCTATCATAATTACTAATAATGTGAGAAAGATCTTTAGTAAGGGATGTACAATTGACTGGATCAGTGACCCCATGAGAAGGTGCTGAGTCACAGTCTGTATTGCTGATTAATCTCTCACCAAAGTATTCCCAAGCATAGCTCTTGATTGGAGTTATGCCATTGGGATATCTTTTTGGGGATGGGAGAAGAGTTTCCTACGTTGTAAGTATGATAGAATATGAGTGTGAAAGGAAAATAAAACAAAGAAAGATAGAAGTAGAAGAGTACCATATAGCAAGAGGAGTGACAAGGAAGGAATTGGATAACCATAACGTGGTGAGAATGCAATGGAGAAATTGATTCCTTACACCAAACACGTGTTCACCATTTTCTCAGACCACCAGAACCTCCTCTTCCGTCAACCTCAGAAACTCAATTGTTGTCAAGCTCAATAGTCCTCTCAACTTGCAGACTACAACTTTAAGATAGAATATATCAAAGGAGAGAAATTGATTCCTTACATTAGCCCCCTTTTTATAAGACTTGTGTCCTTATGAGTCCAGAATGTGGCATTTTGGAATTTGTTGGTGATTCAATCAAAAAGCATTGGGGGTTTAAAAATGGTGGTATAATTTTCATAGGGGCAAAATTGAAGTGAAGTGATGATAATACAAGGGGCAGCAGGCTGTGAATTATGGAACTTAGTGAGTAGATCGGAAATGTGTTTAGAATGGTGTCTGGTTCCCACGTGCGTTCAGAGACCGGGTAACCCAGTGAATAAAATAGTCAAGTTTGGAACCTCATAATTTTGTTGGTCTAGAGGCAATGATATTTTTGACTTCATATTTGTCAACTCCTTCTATGATTTCCGGAGGCGGTCTCGAAGATACAGATTCATTGGGGAATTCAGGAACATGTTATGGTGACAAATGGCTTCATTGAATACTGGGTGAATGGACTTCCAACTTTTTGAGATGTCAAGTTGATAGGCAGAAGGTCCTATCTTTTGAGTGATTTTGAAAGGACCAAAGTGTTTGTCATCCAATTATTGATCTATCCATTGTGATGATGTTACCTTCAAACCAGACTTTGTCGCCTGTTTGATATTCTCGAAGTGGGGACCTTTTACAGTCATAGTAACATTTCAGATTGTTGTTTGCTAAGAGGAGAGAGGATTTTGTGAGGTCATGAAGTTGTTTCATTTGTTCTCCAAACTCAGTGGCTGATGTGGATTGAGGGGATGATGAAATAGTGGTGTTTGTTCATGGGTGTAAGCCATAGTTTAAAAAAAAGGTGTCTGGTTCATTGTGGTATGGAGATGATTATTGTAAGTGAATTCGGAAATGGAAAGCCAACCTGCCCAATTATCTTGCCAGTGATTCACAAAGATGTGAAGGTAGTGCTCATGGTCTTGATTGATCTGTTTGGACTGTCCATCAGTCTGAGGGTGATAACCTTAGAAAGGGCTGGCTTTATCCCCATCAACTCATAGAAGGCTTTGGTAAATTATGACATGAACTGTGGGCCTTGATTGGAGATGATCTTTTTGGGAATTCTGTGGAGTCGGATCACACTATCTTTGAGCTGACAGGTGTAACCGGCAGAGTCAAGAGTGACAAAAGTGGGGACAAAATGTGCCATTTTGCTAAATCAGTTGACAAAGACTTGAACAGCGGTGTATCCCTTAGACTCCAGTAGTGCACCTATTCATGCAGGTAGGCTTGGGGTGGAGCAGTAAGACAGAACACAAAGACACTATAACTCAACTTGCAAGCCCGAGATTTGCTGCTTGAGAGAATGAACACCAATCATATTCCGTGCATGCCGGGCAGGTCAATATTCTACACGAGATGAGATGGTTAAACCTGACAATTTGACAAGAGGTAGTTCTAGGCATGTTTGATTACGTTTTGCTGTATCCTCGGTTTTTATAAATATTTTGTAAATGCTAACCGCTCAAATAAATAAATAATTCGATGGCCCCAGCTTCCCGGGTTTTTGCAGTGATCGTGCGATCTGAATGATGTATAGGTCTAAGTAAAAGGTACTTCGGCGCCCGGACTTTTAATAATTGCGTCGAGGGTGTCGTGCCGCAGTTGGGAAGCTCATTACGGTACTAGGTTTTCTGACCGTACTTTCCCAAATTTATCAAATATGCATAGTTCGTTCAAAAAGGAAGGCTCGCGGCACAGCATCAGCATGGTCAAAAGCTATAAATTCGGGCACCAGCAGTAGAAGCCGTGGTATACGGTATATCATCTAAACGACACCCATCTTGTAACAAGCCATGTCGAACGCCTTTCGAATGCTAGAGTATGCTTCAGCCATCCTTATCGTTTCTTTGTCTAGTTGTTTATATCTAGGACGCCGTTTGAGACAACGACTTTATGTTGAAACTACAGGTGCCAGCGACGTTCCTTACTTAGGGCAAGAACGTCCCGAGCACGAGAAACTGCATGGCACAGCCATAATATGTGGAGGGAGGTGACTATCACTTTTGAGTGCTGTTTAAAGTATTACTGAGAAAACAACTGACAACGCTTCTAGCATTGCAGGGCTTTTGTCTGCTCGTATATGCCACAATCACTTCAAGCGCGTGGTGATTATCGAACCTGAGCCATGGTTGGCTAGCGAACAGGCACAGATGGTTGAAGGTTGGAAGCAGCAGCATAAGCGTTCTCGGATCGTGCAGTATCATTCAGTTCAAGGTGTTTAATCCTGTGTTTGTTAGGCGCTGCATCCTCTGACATAACACATGTTGCACTAGCCCAACAAGCCCTAAATTTGAAAGCATACAGAGCCATGTTCCCTCATTTCGACGAACAAGCCAAGGCATCAGGGATTCGGTGGGTTGCTGCTTGACTTCTTCGTTTACGATGGACGATATTCATATCTCTACGTGCTACAGTATCGCTGCTTCTGATCTTAAGATGTGTATTTCTGGTCGTTTCCCAGGAGTCCCGTATGACGAGTATCCAGATGGTTTACCGGAGACTTGCTTCACTAGCCGTCAAGGTCTCGAAACTCTAATTCGACGATTAGTTAAAGATACGACCAAGTACCCTAATATCGACTACATCGTAGGATCAGTCTCCGAATATCATCCTGCTGCGGGAAACTCTACGGTGCTTGGCGGGATCACGGTACGCAATGAACACGGAGAAACTGATATCCGTGCGGACCTAGTCATAGGTTTGATAATTTTCAGCCCTGTTCTTGTGTCTTCTACTCATTGAATGGCTTTCAGACTGTACTGGTGTATTTCGCGCAGGGGTCAAAATGTTAAAGCATGCCGGATATGGCTTTGCTGATGTGTATCCGAAGGGAAAACTTTCCCTTGACGATATCAAGCTTTCGTATGACCCAAAGATGTTCTACTCGACGTTAGAGCTTACTATCCCACCTGATCTGGCAAAGCGATTGCCTATACCTGGTGGAATGGATGATCATCCAGCTATTGCAATGTGCTTGAGTAATGCTCGGAAGGATCGTAAGACCCTATATTTGATTGGCATCGATGGCCCATATCGCAGTACGTTATATTTCTTTCGTTATGCCCGAAGGGTGCTATCAAAGCTCCATAGTTCACATCAGCTCGGGTGCTTGGGATATAGCAGATCTGCCAAAGACAATCGATGGTGTAAAGAAATTTGCTAGCTCAATGATTATGGATGTACCGCTTCCCAGCTGGCTTTTCCAGCTGCTTGACATGTTGGGAGAGGATCCTCAAGTGCATGAAACAATGACCGTTAGTTATATCCGCGTTCGTAAGTGGCGTGCATGCTACCTAACAATATACTTTATTGACTATGCATTAGCGCCTTCTTGCTATTACCGTTTTCACCAGGCCGCGAAATTGCCTTCAAATTGGGTTGCGTTAGGGGACAGCGTCATGAACATTAATCCTATATTCGGGTATGTTTTTCCTTTCCAGAACCATGGGCACGTTCTTTGTTTCGTCCCTCTTGCTGCTCTTGTCAGAGTTCATTTGGGTATCGTAAGCTCACACACACCTTCTCTAGCACTGGTTTGGCCAAGGCCATCTACGGTTTGATTTGTTTGAGCCAGATTCTAAGGACAGTTCCTCCTGGGTCATCATCGACTTTGAACGCACAGTCAACTACACTGCCAGCTGATTTCTCGACCAATTTTTTCAATATCCAGAAAGCCAAGATTGAGAACTTCTGGTGGGGTTGATTTCTTGCCATCTCAACGTTGTATTGATATTTCCGTTTGGTTAACATAGGACATCCACGAAAAATGCGGGTATGTATAGCATTTATTGCCTTTGACTTCGACGGTTTATCAACTACGATATCCTTCCACTAGATTATGCTCAGCCTACCACGGTGCCTGTCCGCGGGGAAAGCCTGAAGAAGGGTGCGTGGATGCGGTGGTACATGCGTAGACTTCGAATCGTATCACTCACAGTAAGTCGCTGTTGGCATGACATCACTTTATGGCGATAAATCATCGAATTCACAGGACAAAGCAACTAGCTCCAAATTTTGGCACATCCTTAACTACTTATCACCGGGAATAGATGCACTCCATCCCCGATTTGTATTTAAGGTATTGTGGAGCTATGTCAAGACTCCTGAAATCTGAAACTGTCGGTTTCTGGTGTTTCACTATGTAACTCCGACCAGTTGAGAATCAACTGATGGAGCAACCGCTTTTTGGATGATTGTAACGTGCTATTCAGGTGATTTTCTGGATCAGTTGATAATCACTCGTTGATTAGGTGGTGAAATTGGGTGATAAGCAACCCAAATTATGGCCGTTCACTTGGTTTGTATAACAAAATTTTTGATAGTTACTGGCGATTCGCCAAAACCTTTCCTAAACCATTAGCCTCTATAAATATCATTTCAGTGTTAGTTAGGCTATGTTCGGTAGCGTCATTTTGCAGATGTCATGGCATTAGAACATTGTCGTGCTGGGTGGCTTGATAATGCTGAGTTGTAACTTTATTGTGCCAGGTGGCTTAACGATGCCGAATGCCGAACAGGCTGATCATAGGGTGATACAGAATTGGGCGTCTTTGAAGGTAGAACACCTGTATTGATACCATCAATTTACCCACCAAACAACCCTATCGATGGCACGAAGGCCAGCCAGCAGCAGGCTTTCCAAGCCCCCACAATGGTACCCTCTATGGTCATTGAAAATGACAAGCATCAACGACACAAGTAATCAAACAACTACAAAGAAGAAAAAGGGGCCAAAGGCCATATGGACTGGAGCAGATTTGAAGAAACTCATGGATATTGCTGTAGAGCATCGAGGGCTTCTTGGAGAGGGGGGGAATTTTAAACCCCAGTTCTACACTGTTGGAATAGGCGTATCCGGGATAAGCTTGTGCGGGGGTAGCTGTGGTAGGGGGTGCTACTGCGACAGGCGCTGGAGCCATGGCCCGTACTGACAAGCCTGTTACCTCAAGAAGGAGCTTACTTGTGCCGGAGACTTGTTAGATACGCCTGGGCTCAGTTTTAGCGTTGAAGCGGGCTTGAAGATCACAAATGCGAACCAACATGTCTGGGATACGCTTCTCAAGGTAAGTAGCATCTAATTTCCTATTCCCACACATGAACTCACCATTTCCAGAGTAAAAACAAAGAGACGACAAAGGCAATTATCATCCATTTAGCTGCAGATGGATGTAAATGGTATGATAAGATTGCAGGAATTTTACCCAGCCAGGTGAAAGGAACTCAAGTGTTTCGAGCCTCACAAGCACAGTCTAATAAGGCACCCACCACATTACTGAGGAAGGAGGCTACAGTTTTGGATGGAGAGATAGAAAACAATGACAACAACAATGACAAGGAGGAGGAGGAGGAGGATCATGGCGGCAAGGGCATGGCTGTGGATGGGCGGAAGAGTGCCAGCAATTCTGGTACCTACCTGGATACAAGTAGTGCCCAATCCAAACCTATCAGCACGTCTATGAGTGTTACATTGTCTGGGAAACAAAAATACTCAGCCGTCAAATCCATCTCTGTAGTCTCAGCCACTCCCAGCAAAACCCCGTGCTCATCAGATGCTGCTGCCATTAATGGCTTGAAAGAACAAGTCCAGCGGATGGTGGACAATCAGGGCAAGCATGATGAAAAACGTTACAAGTACAAAGATTGACTCGCCACTGCTTTAGAGCGTGCCTTCACAGGCCAAGCAGCTCAGCCAAGTTCTTCAGCTTCGGCTGCTCCTACGCAGTCATCGGAACCTGCAGCTAGCTGTTACAATTGACATACCAGCACCTACTCACACTTCACTTTTTTGTACTTTTATTTTTCATTTTCCAAGTCACATGACCAGTCATGTTGTTACCATAACACGTTTTCAGACCTTTAAATTTCATTCTCCCCTTTAACCTTTTACTATAGTTTTCATACACAGTGCCACGCGGCACTTTGCTTTTGTTCAAACTCCTCTTTCTCATGCCGCGCTGCCTTTCTTCTTATTTTAGATACAAGTATCTCATGTAGTGGAGCTGGTCACACGGGCTGTGCCCATGACATCACCAGCCACTGCCTTCATCAACTGTATAGTACATATGTACAAACAAACCTGTAGTAGTATAAGTACCCTAATAGATCAAGGAGACTCCTCAGTGAGTCCTCCTGTTGTCTAGCACAACTAACTTGTTGAAACCTAAGGGGTGATCCCTTCCTTCTCTCTTCTCATATGCTTGTCTGAGTTGTGCGCCAGAGTAAGAAACTCTTGGTCATCACAGCGGCAATAAGGAGCTTAGCCATCAAGACTGTGGGGCAGCTTGAGGTGCAGCTAAATGACAAAGGGAAAGTGGCTTTGATTGATATGTTGTGCGTTGATAGTGAGCTGGTCTCCAATTATTTGGACATGGCTACACAGGAGCCAAGCCTTCAGATGACATGAGTGGGTAAGCTGCTGAGGCAGAACACTGCATTTCCTCTTGAGCACCTCTAGCCGTATTTGTTTTTGGACCGTTTTCATACCGCAAGTCGTTGCATCTGTATTATGCTGTAAAGTTGTTACAATTATGTTTTGAAATGAGAAGCATTTTCTGTTATTTGCGTGTTTACAAATACATGACAAGAAAAAATACCGGCAACAATCATACAGCACCCCTAGCCTGCAACTCAGCACGGTATGACGTCCACATGTCCATTGCTATTCTGTCGCGGCGCATATTGGCTTCAAGTCAGTTTGGTTCGGTTGGCGGCCCATCAGACAAAGAACTGGTGCTGACCAATGAAGGCACAGCTTTAGAGAATTTGTGGATGTTGTTAGGATCATGCATCCAGATGTAGTTGTGCAGCATGCATAGGGAGGATGGGATGCGAGCCTGTATGTTCATATCAAATTCGGGCGGACAGAGGAGGGTCCGAAAACAACGCTTGAAGATGCCAAAAATGCGCTCAATACAGTTGCGCGCTTGAGCGTGTTGCAAGTTAGAGAGCTCTTCTTTGCTCCTGGGCCTGTTGAATAAATAGTCAGAATTAGTATAAAGAAGAGCAAAGTACTCACCTGAGCCCCACTCGACCCCACTCAGCTAAATGATAGTGTTCTCCTTGGTAAGGAACCAAAAGCTGTGGGGAAGAAGCAAAACCAGCATCTGCCAGGTCATATTTACCGGCAGAACACAAAGATCATGTTGGCAAGTGTCATTGTAAATACCTGCATCAGCAGCCGAACCCTCCCAGCCAGTAAGAATGTAGAGAAATTGGAGGTCAAAGCTACAACATGCTAGGCAGTTCAGGGTGACGCCGCCCTTTTGATTTCGTGAGAGATGGTGTTCTGCAGCGGATGGGGCACAGGCGATATGTGTCCCATCAATGGCACCAATTGCATCGGAGAAAAATGGATAAAGCTTTGGGTTATTGAGGATCCCGGGAGGCATAGGGTCGTTAGCAGATGGTAGATATACATGATTAGTGTAGATGGGTGCAGACGAAAATGCAAATAGAACTTCCTTGAAATACCTGCAAAATTATTAGAAAAAATGAGTAAAACATAAAACACAAAGAACCTACTTCAATATAGTGTTGTTGGCACATTGAAAACGCTCACCAACATGTCTGACAGTGAGCCCAGTCACACTCATGTATAAAAACATGGCGAGCTTCTCCTCCAAAGACACACTCTTTGAATCTGCTTCTCTCAAAGTCCTAACCAGCTCATCAAATATTTCTCTCTTGACCCCAAGCTCACACCTAATTTGTTCTGGATGCCCATCAATCAATTCTTGAATCCAGCCATGGCCAGAGAGTACCAGTGTATGATAAGGGGTCTTGTCAAAGAGAGGCTCTGCGTAAAAAATAGCTGCTTGGGCCGCTGCAGTAATCACAATGTCTTCTTCATCTTCATCCGCAATACCTTCCTTGTCCAACAGTAGTTCTTCAAGGAGGTATATGCCAACCTTGGCCTGTACGTCACTCAGTTCAGTCAACATGGTACTTTGTAGATTGTTAGTAGATTATTTATCTAAATCAGTGCCAATAACCCAAAGTCATAGTTCAAGCTCCAATTTACCATCTGTGATTTTGAACATGATATAATCTGCAAAATGATGCTACCGAACATGGCCTTAGTCATCTGAATTTTGTCCAAATACCACAAAGCACCACAGTGTTTGTCATTCCAAGCTGTTCCTCAACTGGTTTGCCTGCATAAGAAATAAACCAATGACTGAATCAGGATAATATTCTCTGGATACAATAGTAATATCTTTAAAATTTAGGAGAGAAGCAAGGCACATCATCAGTTAATTATACACTGAGAAAAATGTCAATGCAAAATGTCTATAATATTTGTCAATGTTCTTATCACAATATATTGCCGAAAGATTGAGGGATAGTCTGGTGAAGGTTCTTAAAATAATTGATACACCACTTAGACTGTTAGCATGATTCAAGTATTTATTTGAGCACATCATAACATCAAACAATTTGTTGGAAGCAACACAACATTGTCATTTTTATTATGCAGAAGTATGTTACAGAAACATAAGATGCCCAACTAATGGCTGAGTAGATTACCAGTTAAGCTTCAAGTTGATAGCTTCCTGCCATTCTACATTAACTATATTGAGGGAAGGAGCAAACTAGACGGCCATCCATAAATATCCATGCCAGTTTGAAGACATTCAGTAAAAAAACTGAGAAAAGAATGTTAGCTGAGGATGAAGAAAAAGGGAGCAGAGTTACTTACTCTTTGATTTTGTCTTTGCATTTGTCATCAGACACCTACTTACTATTAGCATTGTTTTGGACTTCACAAGGGGTTCATCCACAAAACTCCAGAACTGGTGATTTCTCCATATTCTTTTAGTCACCCATTTTTTATTTTTAACTGGCTGCTCGCTCGTGGTGAAATCATTGTCATCAGCTGGCAGATCCTCATTGTTGATCGGTTGGTGGTAATCCTCCCTTCCCTCACACGCAAATGGATTGTTGCTGTTACAATACCCAATTTTTGGACCTTCACCTTTCAGTCTCTCAGCTTTCTTTCTCACTTGTGCTATGTGGCCAGCCCATGTAGTTTTACAACATGTCTTCAACCAGCCCTATTATACCTTTGACACAAGATGACTATTGACTTAGACCCTACCACATTTTCATCCTCTCAAAAGTCAAACTGGTGCTCTACCATTGCTAGAGTAATTACCCATCTTAGATGGGAAATTATTACCTGATAATATTACTATATAGATGGGGCCAATGGAGTCCGGTGGATGTCCTAGCCAGGCCATGTTAGACAACCCGGATGGATCAGAGTCTGCTTATTGAAGATATGTCTCTCACCTTTTTAGGCATCATTTTCTATTTGATGTTGAATATGCAAATATATCATAACTTCCAAATCTGGTGGTGTCTTGTTGCCAGGAGGCTCTCTAAGACCGTAGCGCTTACATTATAGATTCTGTTACAATACACAATTTTTGGACCTTTCATTTTCATTCTCCTCTTTAACTTTATACTGTAATTTTCAAACACTGTGCCATGTGGCACTTTCCATTTTGTTCAAACTCCACCTTCTCGCGCTACACTGCCTT